TATTAGAAAAAATGTAAGTTATTGCAACCTTTATGGCCATATCTATCAAGATTTTAAATGTAATTACCCTTTGGCCCAGAAATTCTGTTTCCAGATACCTGTCCTATAAAGACACTTGTACATGTCTGCAAAGACTTAGGTATCGAATGTTTATTGCAGTGACATTTGCAATAGAAAAAGATAAAAAACAAACGACTTTCTTGGGAGAGTAGGTAAATAAATTGTGTTACGTTCATCATCTGAACCATAAAAAACAAGTTATTTCCATATGTGCCAATTATACAAAAGATTTCCAAAATATGTAAAGTGGGGGGAAAATCATGGTACATAACAGAGTATAAAATATATTTTGTGCTTTAAAAAGGAGAGAGAGGCCGGGCGCGGTGGCTCACGCCTGTAATCCTAGCTCTCTGGGAGGCCGAGGCGGGCAGATTGCTCGAGGTCAGGAGTTCGAACCAGCCCTGAGCAAGAGCGAGACCCATCTCTACTATAAATAGAAAGAAATTAATTGGCCAACTAATATATACAAAAAATTAGCCGGGCATGGTGGCGAATGCCTGTAGTCCCAGCTACTTGGGAGGCTGAGGCAGGAGGATCCCTTGAGCCCAGGAGTTTGAGGTTGCTGTGAGCTAGGCTGACGCCACGGCACTCACTCTAGCCTGGGCAACAAAGTGAGGCTCTGTCATCAAAAAAAAAAAAAAAAAAGGAGAGAGAAAAGAAGCATATATACAAATATGCTTGTAAAAACTGAGAATATATCTTACAATTAAGAACGATGTCCTCTGAGAAAGGAAACTAGGAGCCTGGAGGAGGAAGAGCCTTACTTTTTCATACATGCTTTGTTGTACTGTATTATCTTTCTAATAAAAATAAAAAATAAGAACACAGGCTCTGGATGGTAGAAACCCAGCTCCACCATATTTTTTTTTTTAGTTGAGAAACTTTAATTCTTCAGTCATCAGTTTCCTCAACTATAAAATGGGTCTAATAACCTTCCTCTATATGATTGGCATAAAAATTAGATATTATATGGAAAGCACCTAGTATAGTACCTGACCCCCAAAATAGTCATTTTTGAGGTAAAAACCCCTAAACCAGGAGTAACTTCACAAGGAACTACAGACATGTGACTCCCTGTGGCCCAGTTGTCTTCTGTCCTTAGTTTGACCAGATAGTCCGTATGTCCCCTTACCCTGTTTCCTGCTCCTTTGGAACCCTTTTCTTGCTAGAGGTTCTAGCTCCCAAGCCAGGAGGAGTAGGAGAGCCTGGGAGCCGATACTTTGGGCACCCTCCCTATTCCGTATCAGAATGTAACATCAGAGCACTGGTCGTGAGGAATGGGTGTGGGCCTGTCTCCGAAGTCCCCTCTCGCTCCCCATGGCAGAGTTGCAATTGCAAAAAATATATATATAGTGAGTGGGGGAAGAGCATGGAAATGGAAATGGGTGGAAAATTTTAAAAGTAGGGGCAAGGAAAGGCATGATGGCTGAAGAAGTAGCCTCCTGGGCTTCGTAAGATAGATGCCTGTTCTGTGGGTGTCAGCACAGGGCTTTATGGGGAGCTAGTAAGGAAAATGCTGATAATCGGTTGTTCCGGGCACAACCGTATCTGGTCAGTCTTGCCTGTCTGTGGTCCTGAGGTCACTGCCGTGCTTTGGAACTGCAGGAAGGGGCCTGGGATCTATAAGTGGGCCTGAGAGAGAAGGGAAGCAGCAGCCCCAAAGGCCACATGGTACAGCTTCGGGGTGACTGAGAAACACAATGGGAAGTTATCTCAGTACAAGTGCTCAAGGAAGCCTGTGTATTGCCTCACAGAACTCTTCAGACCAGAGAATGCAACTGAGTCATACGAGAAATGTTGGCACAGGACAGTAGATAGATGGTCATGACTGTCTCTCTCCCCAGGTGCTGAAGGATGTCCTCACGGATCTCTACCACCTGCTGAAGCACGTGGTGTGTGTGGAGCCCGATGACGTGGCCAAGCTCCATGCCCAGCTGGCCTTGGAAGAGCTGGATGAGATAATGAGAAACTTCCTGTTCCCACCCCAGAAGCTGGAGAAAAAGATCGTGGTCCTGCCCTAGACGGTGTCTCAAAGGACATAGAGGAGGCAGGGAGGGACCAAGCAGCAGCCATAGCAGTGCCCAGGCCTTCCAGCAGGTGGCCCTGCTGCCTCCTTGTAGCTGGCAAGATGGCTGACCCTGGAGGTGGCCTTATGATGCCAATCACTTGGGTCTTCAGGCTGACCTTCCTAAAACATCTATTTAGCCATCCTGCATCTAGCCTGAAGAGTATGCAGGTAAAAGAAAAAAGATTACAAATCTCATTAATCTACACATTCTTCACTGTCCCATAGCATTTTTTTTCTCCTGATTGCATTGAAGATCAGATCCTGTAGCAATCTAGGAAGGACATCTACCTGATGGAAGTGTATCTTAACATGACCAGTGGGATTTGATAAATTGGCCATTCTCTTGCAACCTGAGGAGAAGAGGTTGGCCACCTACATGTCACATATCTCGATGTGCTCTCATGGTGAGATTATTCTTCCTTGTATTAACGAGGAGCAGACAGCGCTAGTCAGCCTTGGCTTGGTTGGCGGTGGGGAGGGGAAGGGAAGAATTATCAGCACATGCAAAATGGAATAAAATTATCTTGGCTGGAAAGGACAGCAAGTCTGAATCTGGCCCTCTGGTGTTGAGATGGAAAGCTATGGAGTGGAAGAGGCTTTGATCCCCAAAAAGAATGTTCCAGAGAAGAAGAGTAAGCCCTGTTTGTGCTCCTGGGCCATTTTTGTTCACTCCTCCGTCTCCTGTTTGCCTAGACTTGTCCTGATTATCAGGAGTAAAGAGCCACACGCATCTCAGAGAGTTTATATCCTGCATTCCGTCCTCTGCTCCTTTTTAGAAAGATGAATGCTTAGACAATGGTTAGCACTAATGGCAGGATGGAAAGTATGTTGCACAGTGGTGGCCCGATGCCAGGGTTAGTGAAACAGTTTCAGATATAGCACTGTGGTCTCGCTTTATTTATATATATATATTTGGCCACTGCATTTTGATTGCAGCTAAAAGAGATAACACAAACGAGAAACTGGCTGGCTGCTCCAGATAAGCCTTCCCTGTTGTCAACACCTTGACAAGGCTCACCCAGAGCTCCTTGATCGGTTCAGCGTTGCAGGGCTCAGTACAGAATTCTATTACAGGATTTTATCCTCTCCGAAGTGACCAGACCAGGGAAACCAAAATGCAATTTCTGAAAACTCAAGTGACTAAAGGATTTATATACAACATAGCCATTTACCAGTTAATTAAGATTTTTTTTTCATTAGAGACAGGGTCTTATTCTGTTGCCCAGGCTAGAGTGTAATGGTGTCATCATAGCTCACTAGAACCCCAAGCTCCTGGGCTCAAGCAATCCTCCTGCCCCAGCCTCCTGAGTAGCTGGGGCTACAGGTGAGCACCTCCACACCCAGCTATTTTTTTTTTTTTTGGTAGAATGGAGTCTCGCTATGTTGCCCAGGCTGGTCTTTAACTCCTGGCCTCAAGCGATCCTCCTACCTCAGCCTACCAAAGTGCTGAGATTACAGGTGTGAGCCATGGAGCCTAAGAGGCATGCCTTACTTGCCACCCCCACCCATCTCATCTCCTTAGAGCCCCCTTCTGCCTCTCCCTCTGCCTCCTCTCCACCACTGTGCTCTCTAGGTTCTCCCGGCCCCTCCCCTTCAACTCCTCCTCTGCCCAGCGCCTGTCACCCAGACTGCCCTGTAACACTCACTCGGACTTGTGCTCAGCCCCAGCCCTCCTGGCCTCCTTTCTTTCCCTTCCTGGTCTCTTCTTCCTCTTCCCAGGCCCACTGTCCATAGCAGGGACATGCAGGGGCCCAAAGCCCTGGCTATAGCCAAACCCCCAGCTTCTGCCCTAGCTTTGCTGCCTGTTCAGGTTTGACTTCCTGAACGTTCTGGAGAGTTTCCCTTCTGCTTTGTTTTTCTTCCTCCTTGGCACAAACTTGCCCTTCTACAAGTCCTCTGTTAGCAATCAGAAATCTCTTAATTTTCGCTTTGTTCCTTATCGTCTCTCCACACACATACTTTTCCACACTTCCTAACAGCCCCCTTACCCTTTGCTCCATTTGTTCCCCCCGCTCTCCTCTGTTCCTTTACTGTCCTACGGCTCTGCCCACCCATGCACGCGTAAGAGCCAGCGGGCCAGGGACTGGAGGGTCAGGAAGCAAGTCACAGGCAACGACAGTAGCTTATTGAGCACCTACTATGTGCCATATGCTGCACTGGGCCCTGAGAACACAGCAGTGAGCAAAACAGACAAAACCCTTACCCCAGGGGGAGGGAGGCAGACACTAAACAGGACAAAAAAGCTAGAATGTCAAGTGACAAATGCTATAAAGAAAATAAAGTCAGGAAGGAGAATGAGGATCATGTGAGGTGCGGGCTGCAAGTCGAGACAGGTTATCCAGAGACAGCCTCATAGAGAAGCTGATACTCCAGTGAGGATCAGCAGGAGGTGACAGAGCGGCCACAGGGATTCCTCGTGGGAGAGGACACCACGTAGAGGGGGCAGCAAGTGCAAAGGCCCAGAGGCCAGCAAGGGTCCGGCAGGTTTGGGAGGGTGGGGCCAAGTGGCTCGAGCATAGCAAGAGGAAAGGGAGGGGATGAGGTGAGAGGGGTGATCCCATCAAACCTTGGGGGCCACCGTGAGCAAGGTGGCGCATCCACAGACCTATTTTTTTTTTTTTTTTGAGACAGTCTCATTCTGTTGCCTGGGCTAGAGTGCCGTCGCATCAGCCTAGCTCACAGCAACCTCAAACTCCTGGGCTCAAGCAATCCTACTGCCTCAGCCTCCCGAGTAGCTGGGACTACAGGCATGTGCCCCCATGCCCGGCTCATTTTTTCTATATATATTTTTTTAGTTGGCCAATTAATTTCTTTCTATTTATAGTAGAGACGGGGTCTCGCTCTTGCTCAGGCTGGTTTCGAACTCCTGAGCTTGAGCAATCCTCCTGCCTCAGCCTCCCAGAGTGCTAGGATTACAGGCTTGAGCCACCGTGCCTGGCCCACAGACCTATTTTTACCTGAAGCCCTTTCAGCTTGTTTTTGGAAAGTGCTTTAAGGCCAAGATGATAAATGCTGTGACATAGGAAACGCATATAACCAAACCCAGGCACTGTTTTCTTCCTTAGTAAAAAGGAAGCAGCAGCCCCATCCCTTTCCACAGCACCCCCCAACCTGGCCCCGGCTGCCCTGCGTTGTCACAGCTCCTCTTCTCCAGCGGCAGCAGTTTCTCCTCATTGGTTAAAAGAGAAAGGGGAAAGCAACTGTGTGGACCTGCCCTCTGTCCGTGCACCTGCTGTCTCTTTGTCTGAGAGGTGACCGATCGAAGCACTGCCTGCCACCTGCCTGTGACTCTCGCCACCGGTTTGCCGCATTGGAGGGATGGCGACAACCTCTGAAAGTGGATCAACCGATAAGAATAATTTGGGAGATGATTCATCTGACCTGTACAAAACCAGATAGGCTTCTGCAGTCTTTGCGCAGAAATCCAAATCTCAGCTGGCGTTTCTATGGCAGGAGGAGAGCGTTAGAAACAGGAGCAGAGTTCCAGGGTGGGCTGTGAGAGGGAACCATTCTTCCCCGACCATGAGGGTCTTCTCTGCACACTCCCCTACCCCCAGCAGCAGCCTTGACCTCTGAGGGCCTGGCTGTGTCCTCCGGCAAGTTCTGCAGCCATAGACGTGCTGCAGTCACATGCAGCAGCCTCACTGCAGTCTGCAGCACCTCTGACTTCCACGCGCCGCTCTGCTTGGAACTGAATCTCTGCTTGGGGGTTGGGGATTTGTGTCGGGGCTCACGGTACCCGCTGCTGCCTCCTCCCTGCTGGTGGGGCTCAGGCTGTGCTCAGTGCCTTCTGCACAGCCAGCAAGGGGAAGCAGGGAGGTGACCCTCACTGGCAGTCCTGGAGTGGCTGAAACGTATCATTTGAGGGGTCTTGCCTTGTCCCTTCCAGAGTTCTTCACAGTGGCTCGGTCGCTCCCTGCTATCAGGAGGCTTCAGTTTGTGTGCCCCTCCCCCAGAGGACATGCTGCAGTCCCTGTGGAACACAGAGTAGCGAGATCGGTTGCTCTGTGTTTCCTTTAGGTTGGAAAGTCATTTTCCATCCTCAAGCTTGTCCGAGTCTCCCAGCAACCGTGCAGAACAGGGCGGCGAGCTATTGTTATCCCCCTTCGGTGGGATTTGGATCCAAGTCTCCTGGGCCCCAGCCAGGATCCTCTTTACCACATTGGAAGACCCTCCATGAACTATTTTGAACATCTGCTGAATACAGTGGCGCTTCTGCCCCCAAAATTAGTATAGAAGTAAAAGCCTTTCCAGCAGAGTCCAGTTTGAGGTGCAGACTTGGTGCTCCTGTGCACACATGAACCCCAGCACGTGGGGCCCACAAAGAAGTCACTTGAGCTCCACTGACACATGCTAAGGCTGCCTGCTGCTCCCCTGAGCTGGCCCCTTGCTCCTCGTGAGGGCGAAGAGTGGCACAGCCCTCAGGTGCGGTGCCCTGGCTGCTGTGTACATGCGTGTGTGTGTACAGGTGATATATGTCATATGAATTATAACACATGTAATGATTATGTACCTTGTAATATGTGCACTGGCCACGTAGTCATCTGCTTGACCCCCACCTGGGCCTGTGAGATAGGTCTTATTATTCCTGTTCTACAGATGGGAAAACTGAGGCACACAAGAGGCTAATTACTTACCCCAGATTACATAGCTAGTAAGAAGTGGCCAAACCAGTATTTGGACCCAGACAATCTGGCTCCAAAGGCTGTGCTTTTAACCACTATGCTGCTGCTACCCAATAGCTACCGTATTTCCAAAGAAAGAAATTTCCCACAATCTCAACTCCTACCCCAAGATTACCACTGGCAAACTGGTGCATAATCCCTCCAGATTTTATTTACTGTCATACAAAGTGTTCTGTATGTTTTTTTCTTAGTCACATAACTTGGAAACACTCATATCAGCACTTACAGACCCTCTCCTTGGTGACGATGGCTCGTCATCCAGTGTTGGGTGAACTGCAGCTTGGTTAAGCATTTGTCCACCCATGGTCAGCTGAGTTGTTTCTAATTTCCAATGATTCCCAAACATAGCTCTGCATACTGGAGACACTGAAGTGTTTCTATACATTAAATCTTAAGAAATTGAAATGCCAGATCCAAAGGTATAAATTTTAAATGCAAGTACCAAAATGTCCCTTCAAAAGTTTGTGCCAGTATGTATATTCCCCCATCCTCAGGTGGCATTGTTGTAATACCCATGAAATGCAACTTCATTCTCCAAAGCAAATGTTGATACCATTCCCTGAATAAATCAGGACTGGGAAATCAACAGGGGCACAAATGCCCTTTGCAAATTCTCTCACCAGCAGCCATGCCCCTGCTACAAGGACTAGTTAGTGACTTACAAGTACTCACCCTGGAGAGGAGTCCTTATCCTCTACAGTGCTATTAAAAAGGGCTTTTACCAGATGCTCATCTCCAAGACTCTGACTACCTTCTCATGGGGTTTGGAGGACGCCTGAGGTAGCAGCCACATTTCCAAACCAGACTCAGAACATGGGACCTGAGGGCCCCTCAAAGTATTGGGTGCATCCTGTAAAGCCTGGGACCTATGGTGGCTGTAGCTCTCCGCCACTGTATCGTAATCATGATTGCAGTGAACACTGTGAAGAAGTTATTATGCTCTTCTGGGCACTGGACACATATTCATCCACTTGATCCTCACCTTGTCCTGTGGGATAGGTATTATTATTATTCCTGTGCTACAGATGGGAAAAATGAGGCACACCACAGGCTAATTACTTGTCCCAGATTACATAGCTATTATATGGTAAAAAGTGGCCAAACCAGGCAGACTGGTTCCAAAGGCTGTGCTTTTAACCACTATGCTGCTGCTACCCAATAGATATTGTTTCCAAATTGTAAAATCTGTTCTTAGTGTAAGTGAAGATAAAGAAAGTGGTTCCTTCCTTGTATAAATGGATTACCTACATCAAGTTAAACTTCACCCCTAATTTTCTAAAAATAGTGTCCTTGTGCATCAAAACCCAACCTTAAGCCAGGCTTAAGGTGGATGTCTATATCCCTAGCTAGTTGGGAGGCTAAGTTGGAGGATTGCTTGAACCCAGGAGTTCAAGACCAGCCTGGGCAACATAGCATAGACCTCGTCTCGGGGGGAGAAAAACAAAACAAAAACCCATCACAACCCAATCTCAGACACTAGAACTTGTTTCACATCTTGTGTTTGACCTTACGTTATAGTTTGCCCAGAAGCTGGAGATGAGGTTTTGTTAAAGTTCCCCAGTCTACTTGATCCTGTACTTTGGCAGCTTTGGTAAATTGCTTATTGAAAGGCTTATTCTTCTTTTATAGGGTGGCCAAGGTCGGAAACATCTAAGACTGCCTTCCTGGGAGCAGAGGAGGCAGAGAGCCATGTCGCAAGTGTGCAACATAGAAAATTTAACAAGCCTCCCCATGAACTCCAGAGCCCAGAAATGTCCTCTGTGAAGGTTGTTGTTTTAACCCTTTCATTTTCTGTAAACAGGGCTTCATTTTCAGAATAACAGTGTATTATTTTAACTGTTATTTCTTCCAAGAAGCTCAAAGCATATATACATTAATAGCTCTGTTCCCAGCTGAGCATAGTGGCTCCCTCCTGTAATCCCAGCACTGTGGGAGGCCAAGGTGGAAGGATCCCTTAAACCCAGGAGTTCAAGACCAGCCTGGGCAATATAGTGAGACCCCCATCTCTGCAAAAAATTAAAAAGTTAGCCGGGCATGGTGGTATGTGCCTATAGTCCCAGCTACTTGGGAAGCTGAGGTAGGAGGACCCCTTGAGCCCAGGAGTTTGAGGTTGCAGTGAGCTATGATGATAACACGGCACTCTAGCCAGGGTGACAGAGTAAGACCCTGTCTCAAAACAAAACAAAACTCTATCCATTACCATCCCTGCAAGAGGAGAAAGAGACTAGATTAATGGCCCTCTTTTGGAGAAGGGAAAAATAAGGCCCAGAGAGGTAAAATCTTAGAAAGAGAAAGCAGAGCAAAGAGGGAAGATGTAAGTGCAGGATTGCAGAGAAACTCCTTCCTTCACTCCCTAGTTCCTCTATCAACCAGGCGGCCAGCCCCTGTGTCCAGCACAGAGCTGCAGAAGGGCTGAGGACAGGAGTTGTCACTTTGAGGAGAGGGCAGTTTTGGAGAGCCCCAGGAACACCTCTCCCCTGGGGAAGTAGGAAAGCTCACCGGCCTGTGAGTGGTTTATTCAGTGACATCAGATTTCATCTGCACTGTCTGCCTGGAGAGCTCGAGCCAGCTCAGAACAGCGCCTGGGTGGGGCCTTCCTAAGGCGCAGCCCCAGTCATCACACACACTGGTAGCCACCTGGGCAGGGGAGAACAAAGCCGCCTGCTCTGCATTTCGGAAGCGGCAAGCACAAGCTCCCCGCCCCCTCCACGTACACATCTTTATTGGACCACACACCACTTGCAAAACTTCAAAACCTGTGGCTACTGTATTAATCCTAGAGAAAGGCCAGCCTGGGATTACACTGTCTGCTAAGAGAAGAGAATGGTGATACTGATGTTTCAAAGGGCTGCAGTGGTGGTGGTGTTTAGAAATTTCAAAGAACAAGGCTGCGCCATCAGTTATGTGGGTATTTCTCTGTGGCCAAGACCATGGCTGTGTAAAAGAGAGTAATGGAGACTCTGTTCCCCAAAAGAGAGCAGCTCAGACCCCTCTGGAGTCTCTAGAGACTACCCTGCCCCATCCTTTGCAGCAGGGAAAGCCCCCAGAGTGCAAAAGTGCTGTGGTTGAGATAATGAAAGCTCATCATTCTGACAGCTCTGTCCTCCCACTGACAAGGGCTGGCTGGGGTTTTCCCATTTCTCCTGCAAAAAAGCAGGCAGCACCTTTGTCAATGAAAAACGATGTTGAAATCCAATTCCAGGTGCATTGGAAAGACCTGGGCACTGACCGTGCCCATCTGGTCCTGTTCTCTTGTGTTTCTCCCTGGCTTTCCCACCTCATTTCCAGTTCAAATCCATATCCTTCTCCTTTTCCTTTGTTCCTTCTGGCTTGCTAGCTCATTATTTCATTGTTAAGGTTTTTTTTTGTTTGTTTGTTTTTTAATATGAGGAAGACTGATGGATCATTGTTAAGTTTTGAAGGTCAGTTCATTCAAAGAGGTGCCTGTACTGTGGCGGGCCTGGTGCTACAGGGAAATGGACACTCTGCTTGGGAGCTCTGGACCTCACTGCCTGACTTGCTGGCCCGCCACTGGGCTCTCCATGCCAGAAATGCACTTGCACATCTCAGCTGAAGACAACCCTCAGGGTGTGCCCTCAAATGCATGCACAATAAAATTGCCTGGGGAGTCTTGTTTTTTAAATTCAAGCTTGGGGCCCGCCCCTGATGATTCCAGATTAAATTGATCTGGGATGAGTTTCAGGCATTGAGTGTTTTTCAAAAAGCTCCCCAGGTTTTCAAAGTCTAATGTCCAACAGCCAGACGTGAGAACCACTACATTGCTGCTGCATTGGGCTCATCTGATGAGAAAAGGGTGTGTGTGTGTGTGTGTGTGTGTGTGTGTGTGTGTGTGCGCTCGCTCGCATTGCAGGGGAGTGTCCTAGCCAAAAAATAAAAGTTCTGCAAGTCTTTTACTTTGGGGGTCCCTCCCCACAAAGGCTCTGATGGGAACTGCCCCCACCCTCGGCTCTTCTCTGCCTGCTTTTATAGAGGGTCCAGCTTTGGACTTCTTCTATGACAGTGACAAATGATGTCTTTAATCAAGAAAGAGGACATAAAGCAGAAGTGCCAGCACACTTAAGAATTGTGGTTAAGTTACTGTAACAAGAGCCAAATTAATTTGGAACAACATTACCTTAAGCGGTTTGTTCTTCTCCTGCTGATCTAGCAACTTGGATGTAGACTAGGATTGTGTCCCGCCAAGGTCTGGGGAAGTGTGTCGCACACAAGTATGTCACAGTGAGTGATGTGCGCGTTTTGGGTAGACATGCCCATGGGTACTTGAGTGGGGGTAGGTTGACAACACCCAAAGGAGAGAACCTGTCCCTGGGAGTTCCCTGGGCAGGAAGGCATTGCTGTTGACATCATCATCCTTGGAAATACTTTTTTCAGGAAAAGCATCCTTTTAGGGGGGCTCCTAGAGCCCATCTTTACCGTGCACCTCCCTCCCTTACCCAGGATCACCGTGATCCTGGCTGGGGAAGCGAGTGGTGGCTGTAACCGGCTGGGCTATGCCAGCCAAGCCATGTGCCTTTTATAATTCACTCAAAGGTGCCGGAGGAGCTGGCACGGCTCTACATACTCCCCCTTTCCAGGCTAGATTCTCTCAAAGGAACAGTGGGAGGGATTTAAATAAAGCAAATCACTTGTGTTTGGGCTACCACTAATCCTATATCCTGGCCCTCCCAACTTTATTTACTGCTTTCATTGTAGATGGAGGTTGCCAAACCTTTTTCACATGAACCCACGTGTGATATAGGCCGCACCACACCCAGCCCCAGCTTAAAAGGAAATTCTGTGAGCTCAAAATTCATGCCATTGAAAATACTTTTTTTCTTTTCTTTCTTTCTTTTTTAAGAGACAAGAGTTCTCACCATGTTGCCCAGGCTGGCCTCAAACTCCTGGGTTCAAGCAATCCTCCTTCCTCAAGCTTCCCAAGTAGCTGGGACTACAGGAGCTCGCCATGACACTTGGCCTTAAAATACTCATTTATTACAAAATTATACTTATTAATAGAAAATCCAGAGACTTCAGAGAAAAGGGTAAAGAGGAAAAAAAAATCCATTGTTCTATCACCTAATTTTAATATAGTATCAAACCTATTAATATACTATTAAACCTGATCTTTTTTTTTTTTTTTTTTTTTGAGACAGAGTCTCGCTTGTTGCCCAGGCTAGAGTGAGTGCCGTGGCGTCAGCCTAGCTCACAGCAACCTCAAACTCCTGGGCTCAAGCAATCCTGCTGCCTCAGCCTCCCAAGTAGCTGGGACTACAGGCATGCGCCACCATGCCCGGCTAATTTTATATATATATTAGTTGGCCAATTAATTTCTTTCTATTTATAGTAGAGACGGGGTCTTGCTCTTGCTCAGGCTGGTTTCGAACTCCTGACCTCGAGCAATCCGCCAGAGTGCTAGGATTACAGGCGTGAGCCACCGCGCCCGGCTCTAAACCTGATCTTAATATCAAACCTGATCATAATATTTGGATAAATTTCTCTCATGCCTTTTATTAATAATTTATAGAATTGTAAAGAAAACAAATGTAGTTATTCATATGTAACAATTTCGTATCCTGTTTATTTCTAACACTGCATCATAACTCTTTTTGGATATTCCTCCAATTACCTCATGAACAGAATTTTTAGTAGCTGTACAATATTTCACCAAGAAGGTAGATTGTGGTTGAAAATTGCCTTCTGGATTTTTTTTTCTATGTTCTCCGAGGAGAGGGAGAGAAAAGAAACATGGCTGGGAAGAGCTTTTTCTGTTTAGGATTCCAAGAAAAGGATCTCCAGGTCTGGTTTGATATTCGGTTATCAGTCTGGCGTGCCCTGCAAATGCTGACCTTCAAGCCAGCATAAAAGAACCCGACCGCTTTGCCTCCAGCAGAGCAGAGGCCCCTTAATTTGAAATGAAAACGATTCTTCCATCAAAGGAAAGAGAGAGACTGGAGTTAAAAATCTAACCATTGTACCTGCAGCACAGAAAGTCCTTAAGCCCGCTTCTTCAAACATAGCACCTAGAAATGGTGCTGATTGCAGAGTGCTTGTCAGTAAGAGGGGAAAGTTATGAAAGGACAACTTTGTTTGGTAGGAGCTGCCTTGCTGTAGTCAAGGCACACACTTTCCACTTTGAATTATGTATTAACTAGTACTGCAGCTTAAGCTGCCTTGAAGAGAAAGCCCTGTTTAGTCAGCTGGGGGAAACATACCTGCTATTATTGGGAAGCCATTTTAAAGTCACCTTCATTAGCTTCAAGAGGTTTTCACAGTGGCCAGCCCTGGGGGAAGTGGCTGGGATGAAGCCTGGAGGGGATGGGGAGGCCCGGGGAGCTTGGCTGCCATCCCCATTCTGTTTGGCTTTGCTAGAAGTCACGGGCTGGGTGCCAGGGAGGAGCACTGAAGCGTGAGGGCAGAGGGTGAGGGGCAAGCTCCAGCTCGGTGCCCCTCCTCTCCCACCCCCTCCCTGCTCAAGCCACTCACTAGGGGACAGCAGAGCGGATCAGTGGGACTGATGGAGCACCTGGGCCCTGGCAAGGTTGCTCTGCAGCTTCAAGCACCAGTGATGACAGAGAGATTGAAGGGCGGACTCCTACTGGTGCAAAGTATTTGAGCATTTCATGAGTTTGGATTTGGAAAATTAGTTGAAAGGTGAAATCTTTTGTTTGTGGAACTGTCAACTCTCGGTTACCTCAAAGCCTCCAAAGCTTTGAGAAAGGCCCTTTCAACTCTCCAAACTGTAGAAGTCCCTTTCTCTCGATGATTCCTCCACCTCTCTTTGGTCGTGCTCAAGGCAGCTGGCACTGCCTGCCCTCCTCACCTTCACCTCCTGGAGACTGCACCCACAATTCTCATGGCAGCTTCTTGGCCTTTGCTGCTTTACCTGCCTCTTAACAGATCTCCTGTACCCCATTCCTAGCCCTCACCCCAAAATGCCACCAGCTCAGCCATCCCCAAAGAACAGTACTTGTAACCTGTTACTGCCTTGCTCTGACATCTTCAGTAATTCTCCATCAGCTGCCAGATGCAATTCGGGCTCTCAAGGCCCTCCACAGTCTGTCCCCAGATCCTCCTAGTAGCTAGAGTTTATCAGGCACTTCCTGTACAGCAGGCCTCGTTGGAAGTTCTTTAGTATAAATTTCTTATTTCATCCAAGCCTCTCTTGGCTATTCTTTAAAACCCCCCCCCTCACCCATTCCTATACCTACTCTTGTATGTAAGCCATGCTTCCTACCTACAGTGCTCTCACCTTTCTAGAAGAGTTGTCCATGAAACTCCACCCAGCTCATTCCACCTCACAGAGATCTCTTTCTTGAAATTCTCAAACTCTTCTAGTTGGATTCTCTCATCAACATTTAATCATAAACTGTCTTGTATGGGGACTTAATTTTTCAACTTTGTCTTCAAAATGGATAAGCTTCTAGATGGCAGGGGCTAGCCTGGGATCTCTGGGCACCCAGGCACCATTCTCTGCTCAGAGCAGGTCTTCAGCATTTGCAAATGAATGTTGAAGTGCTGTGCGAATCTTCTACTACTGAGCCAAATAGGGAGGCTTATCCTTTGGAACTTGTGTAAAAGCCAATTCAGCAACATCTGAATTCACATTTTTAAGTGATTGGGTATGGAATTAGTCCTATTTCTAAATCCCCAGTGGTAAGCAGAGATAAACTGGAGCTTTATTGTATCAGTCCCTTAAATACTCCCCTACCCCCCTACCCCTGCAGGGATGAATGCAAATAGGGCACCAAACTGGATGTTAATTATGGGCAAATCCTCCCTGGCATAGACTGCCACAAAGGTAAAGACTCTCTTATCTGCCTGATAACACCAGGTCCCTGGCCCTGCAGATCAGAAAAAGGGAGTTTGCTCCCCAGGGGAAGCCATTTAGGGAGCAAAGCCAATTGGCATGGGCAGAGCGCTTATTGTCCTGATGTTGCATCTGGACCTACTGTTCATTTCAGAGGTTCTAATTGACTAGTGAGGTTGTGCTGAACCAGCCCCGCCTGGGAAACTTCCTGGAGGCAGCAGAGTAGTACAAGCAATAAGCCTATGGGACACTAGAACCTTAGAAACTAAGCATGAGATGATCCTGGACCAGCCCCAGGGAAATAAATGGGCGCCCAGAGAAGTCGTGTTGCTCTTGTGCTGAGGACAGAAAGGATCTTTCCAAACTGGCTGCTCCATTCCTTGAGCTTCAAAACAGGTCACTTATAAGCAGCCAGTTGGCTGAATATGACTCACAGACACATTTTGCCTGGCCTACGGAGTGAGTTTTTTTCCCTTCAACATTTGAATTAATTGCCAACACTTAAACTTAGGAGATTTCCCGTAAAAAATCTGGATTTCTGGCTTCTCTTAACAACACAGCAGCTGGCCATGCTGGGCCCTCGCTCCCTCCACAGGGACATGGTCCTCTAAGTGGGGCATTGGCTCCCCACCAGACACATGCACTCATTTTTGCCCCTGCCCAGCCCCTGGTGGTTTTCCCAACTGTAAAATTTTGCAGATTGCAAATGTGGGCGAGAGGTAGGATCAGATAGATCTTCAAGTCTCCGGCAACTCTAGGCTCTGTGATGCTTCTGGATGTGGAGGAAGTGGTCCAGGGCTTTGGGAGTCCCTAATGCAATAGACACAAGGCATTTTTCATATATTCAGACTCTGATCTCTGAACTTCCTGTCACTGAGTGCTCTGCAGCAATCCCCAACCTTTTTGGCACCAGGCACTGGGACCGGTTTCATGGGGGGAGGGCAGCGCCAGAGCTAGGGACGGCAGCTCTAGAAGAGTGGGCGTGTAGAATCCATAGCATGGACACACATGCCACTCTCTGGTTGAGATTAACTGGAGCTAACATTTACTGAGCATTCACTCTCAGCCAACCTCTCAAACCTCGCAACAATCCTCTTAACAACCCCATTTCTGGGATGAACACCCTGGGGCTTACTGCCACACAACCAGTGGCAGGACTGGCTGTCTGACTGCAGAGCCCTTCTCTCCATCTCTGTGTACTTTTATGAACGAGGGGCTCTAGTAGGGCCCCTCAGGTTGTTTGAAGGTCAAAACATTCCCATTGTGGATTCAATACTAGTTTGAAAAATACATCCTTAAACCCTATAGCGCATTAATGATTTTCTCAAGCAAAAGTGTGAAATAATTTGATTTTTGTAATGCAAGATGGGAGTGGACAGAGTAGGTGTGCTTGGGGTCTTTGCTTGCTTGGGACTGAGGAGTGAGCTCAGTGGCCCAGAGTGAGGGTGGGCAGTCCCTAAGACTTCTGAGAGGAGCAACTTATAGATGGCAACCCAGGTGCGTACAGATTCATCACAACTTGGGAAGTAATGGAAATTATCTCAGGGGTGTTTGGAGGACATGTGAATTCATTTCTTTACTAGTCTTTAATTAGAATTTCTCTTAAAAGTTTGAGATGTAGGCCGGGCGCTGTGGCTCACGCCTGTAATCCTAGCTCTTGGGAGGCCGAGGCGGGCGGATTGCTCAAGGTCAGGAGTTCAAAACCAGCCTGAGCAAGAGCGAGACCCCGTCTCTACTATAAATAGAAAGAAATTAATTGGCCAACTGATATATATATAAAAAAATTAGCCGGGCATGGTGGCGCATGCCTGTAGTCCCAGCTACTCGGGAGGCTGAGGCAGAAGGATCACTCAAGCCCAGGAGTTTGAGGTTGCTGTGAGCTAGGCTGACGCCACGGCACTCACTCTAGCCTGGACAACAAAGCGAGACTCTGTCTCAAAAAAAAAAAAAAAAAAAAGTTTGAGATGTAAAAAAGTCAGTGTCTTCAGCTGGTTCTACCCTTCCTTCCTCTAATAGAAACTCCCCTGTCTCCCGACCCCACCCCACCTCACTGTGGTCTAGAACCATGTTTTAGGTACCTGGAATCTACAGGAGATAAGGTCAGCTGGGAATCTAGGGGTCATGCATGTCGTAAATAAAGGTGCAAAAAGGGGGAGGAGGAATAGGAATTGTTCTGGCTTTAAGACACCCAAGGTTCCTGCAAAACCATTTGCAGCTTTTGCAAACAGCCTTAAAGTCATCAGCGCCCCACTGCGGAATTCAAAGCTAAGCTGTCAAAATTGTTAACACCTTCTTTGACCAGCCTTTTTATATTTGACAATTATTCTCTTCTCCTTGCCAGCAGGAAGGTTCTGCTATCCTGGTTGTAGGGAACCCCATACAGCGAACAGATCCTTCACGTGCAGAAGTCGGGGAAGATTTCTGTCGGCTCGCCCGCTTTGCAGGGTGAGTAGGTTTTGAGGCTTAGAAAGCGGGGCGTGGGGGCGGGGACGGAGAGTAAGAATTTTGGAAGTCCCAACGTGTTGTCTTTAAAGTTAACCACGCTTCAGGTTCTAGGTTGTGCACAATGACCACCTCCCTTGGGCAGCTGGCCCCGGGGCGAGTGCTGAGCAGCTCGGCCTTCAGCCCCATTGGCGGAACCCAGTTTCCAGGAGGGCGCGGAGAATGCGAACCTCTGCGAGTCAGAGGAGCGGCGTCCACGCGGGACCTGGAGTCCCCGCCGAGCGCCGGCTCTGGGAGCTCCTCGGACCGAGCCGGTTAGGGGATGCGCCCTCGGGAGCCCTCCCACTCTTGCCAACTTTCCCGGTCCCTGGGCCGGAGGAGGGCGCCTCTCCCGGCGGGGACGCGCTCGGTACTTAAAGGAGGCTCGGCGGGGCCGGCGCTCGTCAGTCTGAGCGCGCGGCGGCGGCGACCGAGGCGGGAGGCGCGGCGGCGGCGAGGAGCGGGAGGAGGGGCATGGAGCCGCTGCGGGCCTGCTGAGCACCGGAGCGCGGGCAGCCGGCGGCACGGTGAGCGCGGGCCCGGCTCGCCGGCCCGCCACCTCGGAGGGGCGGGCTGCACGGGGGCTGCGCTGGAGACCCGGGCGCGCTAGGCTTCGGGGTGCCTCTGGCCGAGCCCCGTACCCCCACCGGCTCCCTGCCCTACGGGCGCCGCGTGCGGCGCTGGGAGGCGGGCTGGGGGCTGCGGCGGCTTCAGGCTTCCCGGCGCGGTTCCTGCAGCCCCCTCCCCACTGACCCCTCCTCCCTTTCTTCCTCCATCCTCTCCTCCGGTCTCTCCTCCCCTCTCCCCTGCAGTCCCGGTTAGTGAATGAATTAGGAGGTGGACAGTGCGGGCACGAGGCTGCTGGAGTGCCCCTCCCCCCCCACCCCCCGCCTTCCGCGCTCGCCCGGGGTTGGCACCTGTCGGGGCACCGAGATACTTGGCGCCCCGGTTCCTGCGGGTCAGCTGGGCCACGGCAGGCTGTTCTGCTGGCCTGGGCTCCCCTTCCCTCGCCGGCTCGGAGGGGCCGGAGGGCTGCCGGGCGCTAGAGAAGGAGCCCCCGCCTTGCGCACAAGTTTCCATTCCGCCGCTCGTGGGCCCCGCGGCAGGGCGCACCTGTCAGCTCGAGAGGCGCTGCGGACCAGGCGGCCCCTCAAAGTTGGGTGTGTGTGTGGATAGACAGGCGTGCGTCCTTGGCGGGTTTTCTCCTTTCGTCGTCCGGGGGCCGGTCTTGAGGAGCGCCCCCAACCTCGTGCCCTTGAATCGCGACTGCGTGTTAGCCTGGGGGGGCCGCGTTCCCCGGGATGAGCAAAGCGTGTGGGGACGAAAGGCAGTCCACGGTTTAGGATCAGCTCCTCACCTCTGCCGGCTTGGGGTGACACAGCCCCCGTCTGGGGAGGGGGACCCTCAAACAGAGCCCAAACCAGCGCGTGACTGCACGTGGGGTATCCTGCTGCGGGACTTTCTTGGGTCCTCTAGCGGGGAGGCTGGGGAATGGGGGTAATGTCTCTAATTCCTGCGGGGGAGGGGTCCCGCCCGGGGAAGGAGGGGACCGGCGACACCGGGGATGCTGCCTTTGTCTGCAGGCACACTTTGCCAAGGTAGCTGGGGCCCCGGAAAGATAAGCAACGCCTGGTCCGACAGTGATTTCTTGGGTTTTCCGTTCCTTCCCGGCTGGGTCGTGGGAAACCGGCACGTGGGTGTGGCCGGCGCCGCCTTTGCCAAAAGGTGAGGCTCAAGTGGGGGCGAGAAGCGTGGCGAGTGCCTTCCCAGCTGCTTTGACCTGGTGGGCACCGCCTCCGGCACTGCGCCGAGGCGGGGTGCCTGCACCCGGCAGGTTGCTGGGCTGGCCTCCGCTCCCCCCTGCCCCTTCCCGGAGCGCAGGCTGGTAGCGGGGGCCCCGCAGCGCCCCCTCGCCGCGTAAGCTCCAGAGGGGGACAGGGCGCTTCAGGGCCGTGGACGCAGGCTTGGGGGGCCCCTGGGTTGCAGGCGCATGCGGTGGGGGAGGATGAGGGAGGGCTGGGAGTTCTGCAGAGGAAGCTCGCGGCCAGCTCCCGGGGATGGCGGGGCAGAGCGCCGGGGGCCGTGCTTCCCGGAGAGGCGAGGCTGCCAACAAACAGCTCTTTCCGGACCGAAGCTGCTGGAAGGCTGCTGGTGCCTGAGTCTCAGGCTGACTTAGGCAGTGACTGCGTGTTCCTCACTCCTATGTGAGAGGTGTCCCCTGACAGGAAGGCGTGCTTGTGTTGGGGGCTCGATTTCCTGAGACCTAGAGCTGGAGCAAAGCTCTGGAAGTGAGATGTTATTGTCTGTAGACCTGGGGTGGAAATGGGGTTCTCCAGGTCAGGCAAGGGACAAGGAGAAGAGACGGGGAGAAGGCCTGGGTCAGAATGGAGGGCAGGGAGCAGTCCAGTCCTTGTCAGCCTTGTCTACCCCCTACCAATGTTCCACATCCTCCTCCCCACCGGCTCTGGTGGAAACCACAGTCAGCCTCCCCACTCGGGTAGCTCTTCAGGGCTGAAGTGTTTCCATTTTCAGGAAATGATTTACCTGAGATGTGAAGCAGGAAACCATTAGAGCCCCCACTGCACTGATGGGGAGACTAAGTCTCAGAGCCCAGGCAAGGTCAGGCAACCAGGAAGTAGTAGAGCTTGTCTCAAGGCCAAGTCTCTGGTGCCAAGTCTTGGGCTCTTCTCATTAAAACACAGCCAGTTCCAACAGGGCAGATGTTAGGAGCCCTGACTTGGTTGCGGACAGAAACCTGGCGTCATTGACAAGCGTTGCCGGGCAGGGGATGAACACACAGATGCCGTGCTGGGGTTCCCCAGGCAGCCACCTCTCCAGGCTTCTGCAGTGGTGGCTGCAGTCCCACTGGTGCTCTAAAGAGCTGGGCTTCCGGGGAAAGCTGTCCACACCCCCAGCTCTCATTCCCTCCTTTTTCCTGTCTGCTTTTCCCCGCATCCTTTCCTTCTCTTTCCTGCCTCCCAAGTAAACGAGAAAAAGGTGAGACACCGGGGAAAGTTTCTTATTGATTTTTTGCCTTGAGAAAGGGAAGACTTCTCCCTTCCCTTTGTTTCCTGCAGTTTCTTTTTTTCCCCCGACTTTCTTCTTGGGCCTTAGGGTAGCTGTGCTTTACTGGTGACTACCCTGTCGTCGCAGGACGGGTACAGGGTACAGAGACACTCTTAGGCCCCTGGCCGCCTCCCTGCCCCTCCCCCATCTCTGCAGCGCAGGTGCACCCCACTGAAGCTTGCCTCTTAAGAGCTTTGCGTCAGGCAGATGCCAGTTCTTCCATTTACCTGCCACCAGGTGTCACATAACTCACTTTGGGACTTTGGCTTGTCTCACAATAAGTGGTAGTCTGAGTGCTTTACACATATCACCCATTTAACCCTCAAAGGTGCTGTGAGGTTAGTATTTCAATCCACATTTTACAGATGAAATAACTAAGCAGTCACAGAGATAGCCGGTGGCAGAGCTGGGATTTGAACTCCAATAGTCTGGCTTTGAGTCTACAAGTCTTAGTCACGTTCAGTAAGTGGTAATTGGTTTTTATTAGTGGGTTGTTTCCCCTGTTCCAGGCCAGACATAGAGAACACCCATAGTTCCCATTAACTGGAATTGCTGCCGCCTGCCTGACCCCGCTTCTCCTGTCTTCCCCCGCCAGATGCCGGTGCAGCTGACGACAGCCCTGCGTGTGGTGGGCACCAGCCTGTTTGCCCTGGCAGTGCTGGGTGGCATCCTGGCAGCCTACGTGACAGGCTACCAGTTCATCCACACAGAAAAGCACTACCTGTCCTTCGGCCTCTACGGGGCCATCCTGGGCCTGCACCTGCTCATCCAGAGCCTGTTTGCCTTCCTGGAGCACAGGCGCATGCGGCGGGCTGGCCGGCCACTCAAGCTGCCCTCTCCGCGGCGGGGCTCAGTGGCGCTCTGCATTGCTGCATACCAGGAGGACCCTGACTACTTGCGCAAGTGCCTGCGTTCGGCCCAGCGCATCGCCTTCCCTGACCTCAAGGTGGTCATGGTGGTGGATGGCAATCGCCAGGAGGACGCCTACATGCTGGACATCTTCCATGAGGTGCTAGGTGGCACCGAGCAAGCTGGCTTCTTTGTGTGGCGCAGCAACTTCCACGAGGCTGGTGAGGGTGAGACAGAGGCCAGCCTGCAGGAGGGCATGGACCGCGTGCGGGACGTGGTGCGGGCCAGCACCTTCTCGTGCATCATGCAGAAGTGGGGAGGCAAGCGCGAGGTCATGTACACCGCCTTCAAGGCCCTTGGCGACTCGGTGGACTACATCCAGGTAAGGGTGTCTCCCTAGGATGTGTGTACATGGGGACATGTCCAGCCAGCCGGGCATACTGTCCTCCAGGAATCTGGGCTGCAATTTGGGTCCCTTGTGTTGTTTATACCCTTCCTGTGCACTGAAGGCAACAAGGTATAATGGTTCTGAACAGCGGTCCTGGGTTGGAATCCTGGTTCTGCTGTTATGTAGCTCTGTGACCCTGGTCACAGAGATCTCTCACTGCTGTCCCAGTGATAAAACAGGTGCGCAGCATTCGCTTCACACCAGGTGCAGATGTAGGCACTTCAAACATTAGCTCTTTCAATCCTCATAATACTCTTAGAGGATAAGTACTGTTGTTATTTCCATTCACCAAAGGGGAAACCGAAGCACAGAGAGGCTAAGTAACCTGCCTGATGTCGCACTGCTAGTAAGGTGCAGAACCAGGATTGAGCCCAGATGGCCTGCAGCAAGTCTGCTCTTGTCCGTGGTACAATACTACCTCACCACGGACAACGTGGGATGAACCTCTTCATAAAGAAGTACGGTGAATAGCAAAAGAAGTCAGGCTCCAAAGCATTCAAAATGGGTTAATTATGGGCCCCAAAGTCGCCCTCTTCCTAGTGTCAAAATCATGTCTGGGAGGTGGAAGATGGAGGCACAAGGTGTGAATGACACACCAGCTTCACTTTGCGGCAACACTGGCAGGGCTGTGTCCCTGAACCAATCCTGCCCAGCTGCTGGTCAAGGTGGTCACTGACACGCACCTGGACGTTTTATTAGGTTGACAAGGTTAACGTGGCTTCAGTTTTCAAATAATGAAACTTAGAATGGTGATTAAAGCTCACACATTTTGGTACAAAATTTAATACACATTTCAGTAGAAACTAAGACCCAGGACCCCAGATTTCTGCTCCAGAATTCTTCCCAGCATCTACACGGCCTGTCTCTGCCCTTCTCCACACCTGCCAGGGGAGGGTTTTGCCCATCACTTGGTAAATGCTTGAAAGCACAGTGACTGTTCTGGTAGCCCACCTGTGTACCAACTCCATCTTGGTAACATGTCGGGTCCTCTAATGCCATTTACATTTTCTGTAGTGTACCCACCGAAAATTAGCTTGCACAGATTTGGGAGGTGGTGGCTTTTTTGAAAGTTGTATTCATGTGAGGACCTCCTCAGCCCTGTAGGGAGGGATGAGAGCCTAAAAGAGCTGTTTGATTCTTTGGTTCACTTTGGGTTGTGGGGAGCCTCTCTGAAACTTTCCTGGGGACCTAAACGCTTAGGGAAAGAAAATCCCTTGAGCCCTTGCACATGCTCAAGCCTCGAAGTGGGCATGTGACTTTGTCTTCTAGTCTCTTGAAGCACAGGATCCCCCCAAACCTCTGCCACACATGTCCCTTTCTGTGTCATCTGTGTGTGCTGGTGGAGCAGCAAACAGGCTCACACCCCTGAGCCAGGCCATTCTCTTTATGGCCCTGGAATCCTGCCTGAGGCAGCCCTGGGCTACAGCCAGTGAACACTTGATGGATTTCAGCCTGTCTTTCAGCAGCCTTGATGAGGGTATCGTTCCTTCTGTGGGGGAGAGCCTTGTTCTGGCCAGTGGGGGTGCCCAGGCAGCATAAGAACGCCTTCCCCAGCCCTCCTCAGCTAGAAAGGCCTCCCTGGAGTGAAGGAAGCAAAGCAGCATATGAAGACTGGGTGAGGGTTGTTGAGTGGCAGTGAGACCAGAGCACTGGGAAGCTTGGCCTGTAAGCCAAGGTGGCTCCCTGAGCCCTTCCCAGGCATGGACTGGGACATGAAGATCTATCTGGTGGGGTGATAGGGAGCACATGTGAGGGACCCAGCCTGGTGCTGATGGCTGTGCCTGACTTCCCCGTAGCCTTCTATTGCCGCTTGTCTGTGACTACCCTGTCTTCTAACATGGAGAGAGAAAACTGGGGAGAGTTGGAGGCAGTCTCCTTCCTGCAGGCTGATGGACTCTTACTCAGCAACTTTAGTAAAAGGATTTTAGGCTTTTGCAGAACAGGGTTTTGGTTAATCTCTGGATAATGTCCTCTGCTCTGAGAATAGTGACCACAGAGCTCAATAAGGGGTCTGTAAACCACCCTGCCCCCATGGCTATCTAGATTCCTTGTACTACTTCAAGTAATTTTTTAGAACACAGACAAGGTTCATCAAGAAAAGACAGCCACCAGGGTAAGCATTCATAGCCCAGGTTCAACTGATAATAGGATCGCTGTTAGAATCGGACTACGAGCCTTGGGGCTGACTGGAGGCAGCTGCTGCCAGTGTCTGTGCCCATTTAGGGCAGATTCCAGGCAACAGCAACGCTGGGCACACTGTGCCCTGGGCTCAGAGAGTCGGCCAAAGGAGTGTGTGGAGGGCGCACAGAAGGCCCTGCAGCCAGGCTGTGGTCTCACAGAGGTGCCTGTGAGTAGATACAGCCTCACCACTAGGCTGCAGATTGTCCAAGAGGCTGGAGGCTGAAATGGGGACCTTGTTAATAACCCTATGGGATACTCTCAGGCAGTGGCCTCTGACAGGAGCCATTTCTTGGCCTTCTGAGGAATGTCTGCTAGCCGTGGTCTAGCCTACTGTGCCTATCATCTGATGTCAGTGACTTGGTCCCCCCTGTCCAAGGACCCCAAAGAAATACTTGAAGATCATTTCTGTGGAGCCTGGCTCTGTAGAAGCTAAACACTTGCCCAGTGCTAGGCACTTATCCATTTCCAGGCCTAGCACCTGTCTTCTGGGTTTCTCTCTCTGATCCTAGTGGCTGTCAAGCCTGGTATTGGAACTCTTCCTTACTTTCCTGTTTTTCTTCTGGCCCCTTCTGTTTGGCATAGGTCTTCTGCTAGTGGCTGGAAGTGAGTCATGTAAGAGGGGTTTATGTCACTCAGGCAGGGCGCAGCCTAGTGGTGGGGGGTGTGCACACAGAAGTGCAGGCCTGAGGTCAAAATGCGCTGACCGTGCACCGCTCCCTCTGCAGGTGTGCGACTCCGACACTGTGCTGGATCCAGCCTGCACCATCGAGATGCTTCGAGTCCTGGAGGAGGATCCCCAAGTAGGGGGAGTTGGTGGAGATGTCCAAGTAAGAAATAACCAGGGATTTCTGGGGGTAGGGGTCTGAACTCCTCCTGCTTCCTAATCCAACAGGGATACGCTTGGGAAATGGGCATCTTGTCTTCCTCTTCCTAGTATTTGGGGGAAGGTTCCCCTTGGACAGTTTTCAGTGGTATCAAAGGGTTCAGCTCATTTGCCACCCAACCCCTTCCCTACTTTTCCATATATGGAGGTTGGGGGGGGGAATCAGAAGGTATGGAGAGAGCCTATAGTGCAGGGAGGGGCAGAGCATTTTAAGGCCATAGATCCTAGAGGGTACTCTCTTTCTGGCTGGTCTTCCATCAGAACACAACCAGAGGTGGTGAAGAAGTTCTGAGAGGTCTCTGCCAGCTAGTGTCCTTCCCCAGCTCACACCCCCAACAACTCGTCATCAGTGCAATAAGATTGTGCCTGAGATACAAGACAACAGTAGCTCCAAACTTAGAGATAGGCTGAAGAGCTGTGGGCAGTATGGTAAGGATAAGGGGCCAGGTCTTCCAGAGCATACTGCAGACAACGTACCATGTCTTCCCTAGAAGCTTTCCAACTGTACGGGGGTCAGGACATGTGGCTGGGGTAGTGCATCTTTCTCAAGCCCTTTTCTCTGCCACCACCATTAGCTGCCTCCTGAAACTGAAGATGGCTTTGACTGCCAGAGAAACTCAGCTGGGAAAATCGGTGCAGATGACACACTAGGGAAGTGGAACAGGTGCTGGGGACAGTATGTGTGTAGTTGGCTCCTCTGAGCCTCAGGTTTCCCAGCTCCAGTAGGGCTAGGACTGACGATCAGGAATTTGAGCAATAGGCCACAGAACCCAGGGTAGGGAGGCCTCAAGGTCCCTGGCATCTGTCTCCTCTGGGGCTTATATGCCTAGCTAAGGAGGCCCAGCATCTCTATTCCCTTGCAGATCCTCAACAAGTATGATTCGTGGATCTCCTTCCTGAGCAGTGTGCGGTACTGGATGGCCTTCAACGTGGAGCGGGCCTGCCAGTCCTACTTTGGCTGTGTGCAGTGTATTAGTGGGCCCTTGGGCATGTACCGCAACAGCCTCCTCCAGCAATTCCTGGAGGACTGGTACCATCAGAAGTTCCTAGGCAGCAAGTGCAGCTTTGGGGATGACCGGCACCTCACCAACCGAGTCCTGAGCCTTGGCTACCGAACTAAGTATACAGCACGCTCCAAGTGCCTCACAGAGACCCCCACTAAGTACCTCCGGTGGCTCAACCAGCAGACCCGCTGGAGCAAGTCTTACTTCCGGGAGTGGCTCTACAACTCTCTCTGGTTCCATAAGCATCACCTCTGGATGACCTACGAATCAGTGGTCACAGGTTTCTTCCCCTTCTTCCTCATTGCCACGGTCATACAGCTCTTCTACCGTGGCCGCATCTGGAACATCCTCCTCTTCCTGCTGACGGTGCAGCTGGTGGGCATTATCAAGGCTACCTATGCCTGCTTCCTTCGAGGCAATGCGGAGATGATCTTCATGTCCCTCTACTCCCTTCTCTACATGTCCAGCCTCCTGCCAGCCAAGATCTTTGCTATTGCTACTATCAACAAGTCTGGCTGGGGCACCTCTGGCCGAAAAACCATCGTGGTGAACTTCATTGGCCTCATCCCTGTGTCCATATGGGTGGCAGTTCTTCTGGGTGGGCTGGCCTATACAGCTTACTGCCAGGACCTGTTCAGCGAGACGGAGCTAGCCTTCCTTGTCTCCGGGGCCATCCTGTATGGCTGCTACTGGGTGGCCCTCCTCATGTTGTATCTGGCCATCATTGCCCGGAGATGCGGGAAGAAGCCAGAGCAGTATAGCTTGGCTTTTGCTGAGGTGTGACCCAGCCCCCAAGCAGAGCGGGAAAAGTGCAATGGGTAAGGGAGGGAAGGGGAAAGAAAGAAAAAAGATGGGGTGGGAGGGAGGAGGGAGTGTTGTATTTTAATTTCTTAACGGTCCAAAGGACAAATCTAAAACGAAGAGAATGGTGACTGTAGTATGGTCTGGGCAGCTCTACTTAGAGGAGACAACACTGAATTCTCAGGCTAAGGGCAGAGGGGGCTTGTATGGTTTCAGGCTGCCTGTCTGCTTGCATCTGCACATAAGCAATGGCCTCTGGGAAAGATTCTACTTTTCCTGGGATCCAGAGGGAACTCAGAAGTGTGCTAAACCAAATAAGTTCGATTCAGTGTCAACTTCTGATAGGTACATGAGCATTGGCAGCAACAGCCTGTGGGAAGAGGTTCTCCTTCCCAACCAATCTGAATGCAACCAGAGGTGGTAAGAGAATTTCTACTGAGGTCTAGGCCAGCTAGTATCCCCCCACCCCCCAGTCATCAATGCAATAAGATTGCGCCTGAGATGCAAGGCTCCAAAGCCTGATCTTTGGGCATCAGAAAACAGGGTCCAGGAATGGTGCTTTGATGTGATGTACCCCACTCCACATCTCAACATCCCAGGGATGAACCAAACCAGCAGGCAGTTAGCACTGAACTGCTTTTAAAAGTACATATTAAAAAGAAAAGTTTGCCAGGAAGAACAAAGAGGTGGTGCTAAAGGCCATGGGCTATATGGAGGCCTTGGGTGTTCCACTTGGAAATTGCTCAGACTTCTAGATGAATTCTTAGCTTGTCTGTGATCTCTGCTGGGGAGATAAACTGTTTTAGCCATCCATCAGGAAGATTAAACCCCAACATGTTTAAAAAGGAAGTAAGGTCTTAAGTATGTTAACCTGTATACTCCTGAATTCCTCTCAAATTCAGCTCTGATTTGAAGCAAAGAGATTTTCCTCACTTCACTTTCTTCAAAGGCACATTTTTTTTAGTGTAACTGTAGTCACCTCTTCCATCCTTGTCATCAGGGGTAAGTTTTTCAAGGTGGCAAGTGGAGCAGAGCCTGGGCTCTTACAAGACCCTCTGCTCTCAGCACATACGGGAAATGCTCAGAGCTTCTGATCAAATTGGCTATAGTCTTGGAGCTGTTTGGACAGAGTCCTTGGCAGCTGGGTTAGCATGCATGACTTTCAGGCTACTGTTCTTGACAATCAACTCCAATGGAAAGCTTTCCAGTGCTTCCAGATCGAACCCTCAAATTCAAGCTATTTATCTTTGAGACTGTCCATTCTCCTCGGTGGCTTCTCCAGGGAATTCTACAGCCAGGTTGCAGACAGTCACTCGGTCTGCAAGCATCCTTCCAGAAACCAAACTCGGAGATGGAATTGGTTCCTACAACCTAAGGTTTCTTGCTTTTTCGTGTCTGTTGAAGCTGTTTGATTTCCCTCTGCTAGTTTTGGACAGTGAGGGAAAAGCCATTTTCTATTGACTTGCAACCCACAGACTTATCAGCATTTGAGTTTAAAACCTGGGATCTTGACTATAAGCCTCTGACTTAAGGATTGCTTGCTCTCTCTCTCAAAACATCCATTTTCAGAGGGGCCAGCTAACCCCTCAGAACCAGCACCAAGGGGGAGAGCAGTTGAGGGGTCAAGCCTCCAGTGTACTCAGGTGCCTCCCACAAAGAAACAAAGTGTGCTCTGAGCCACAGATGGGCAAACCCTGGTGCTTTCCTTCATCTCCCCTGAACCCAAGGGTTTTCCAGGTGTAGCCAGCAGTTGCCACATCACACAGGCCCGGAGTTGATGTCAGACCCAACCTATGAAGGCTGGGAGACAACAGGCATTTGCTAAAGGCACTTCTCCTGGCCAAGAAGTAAACTATTTTGAGCACTACAATGGAGGAAATCCGGTCAGCCAACTGCAGAGCTCAGACTTCACTAAGGGCTTGTTTTTCTTCAGCTTTTACTTGAAAGTTAATGTAGGATGATGGACTCTGGATGGAGAACTCCTGGCTGTCCTACCGCCAGCTCTGCCTTGCACTGTGGTCATCAACTTTCCTCTCATATCAAAAATAGGCAGGTATAGGTAGTGGGCTCACAACGTTTGACCTCGACTGGTTTTTCTAAGTTATTTTGTACATTTTTCAGCAGCAAAACCAAACTGGGTCTTCAGCTTTATCCCCGTTTCTTGCAAGGGAAGAGCCTTTATATAATTGGACACATTTTGGGTTTTCCTCATTGAGAATTTTAATCCTCTTTTGTATTGTTTCTACAATTTGTAAACATATTTATTTTTACCTGCTTTTTTTTTACTTTTCAGGTCAAATTTTTTATACTGCACTTATTTGTCAAAATAAAGATTCTCACATAACACTGGTATCTGAGCTATCTCCTTTGTGCTTAATAAAAGCTAGCTCTTTATTCCAGTTCCAAAAGAGGGACTTGAGGTAGAAACAGCTTTGTCAATGGGACTTAAAAGTAGGAAAAGTTGTGACAGCTGCCTCTGGACTGGGGGATACAGTAGGCCCACCCTGATACCTGCATACTCATGTTGGTTTAACTTTTATTGTACAGGCAGAGTCTTTGGTGAAATAACTGGCAGATGAGAGCGCCCTTGCTAAGGCTAAAAACCAAAGCTTGCTTTCTCCTGGAGTAAAAGCATTTGAACTGGCAGATAATGTAAGACTGCGGCCAAGCTGAAACAATGAAAAGCCAGAGTAAACTTCCTTCCCTACAGAACAGGTAACAAAATGGAGTGACAGCAGCAGCCCTCTCGTCCCATTTATTAAAGAAACAGTAAGAAAAGATACAATGCAGGAAAAACACCAACCATCCTTTTATGTCAGGCTGAACGAAGCACAGTGATTTCTTCCCTTCATCCCCCACCCCCACCCCAATTCCCATATTCCCATCCATATCAGTTTAAATTTTGAGGTTCTTTGATTGGGAATACCAGTGAAGAGGGAGTTGGATGAGTAGAGGAGCCTCAAATCTGGCCGTCTCTTAAGTCCCAGGAGAAGGGAGCTGCAGGCCCAGTCAGTCAAGCAGAAACTGCATTTGATGGGTCTTTAAAGTGGTTGTCCACCTCCCTGTTCTGTGTGTAGGCCCCCAGGGAAAGGTATGGCAGTAGAGGATGACCAGGTCCAAGCTGCCCAGGTCAGAGCTACCGAAGCATGGTCCGTTCACCAATGCAACATTTCTAGAGAGCAGTGAGCTGATTCTCCAGTGCTGAGCAGGGGACTACATATGAATTGGGACCTGCAGGCCCATGTATCCCTGAGGAAAAGTCCACAAGAACAATTCAAGAAACTAGTAAGAAACAAGGGGCAGAAAGCTGTGGGACAAAAGCACAGCAGGCTTCTGGAAGGCTGGAGATCCTTTCTCTCAAGGCTAGGATTATTCCCACCTGCTGCAGTTCACATCCCACAAATAACATTTCACCTTCAGTAAAGAAAAAAGCAGAGGAAAAAGATGGCTCATCTGAACTTGAGCCCCAGCTATGTTGTTCAGACTGTAGCTCCAATCTACCCTTTTACCTAACAGACAGCCCCTGCCCAGAACCACAGTGCCTGGAAACCAAGGTGGTCCTGGAGGGAAAACAGTGTTTAAGGGGGTAACATTCCATTTGGGTACATTGCAGCCATTGGACCCCCTGGTCTGGGGAAAGCAGCTGGGTTTGTGCCAGGGAGGCTTCCCACTCTAGGAAATGGGACCAAACTCTTGCCTGCAGGGCCATTCATCCTTGAAAAGGAAGATGGGTTGAGACCCAGGGTCCCAGTTGGCCTTGCAAAAGGAGCTGGGTTGATACCCACAGGGCCTGCTGGAGAAGAGCCCAGGTGCCCAGCAGCTGACCTAGGGAAAGCAACTTGACCAGGGCCTAATGGGCCAGTAGACCTTGGGAAAGTAGCTGGACTTGGACCCTGCAGGCCAGTGGCCCGTGGGAAGTTAGTTGGGTTGGGGCCTAGTGGCCCAGAGGCTCTTGGGAAAACTGTTGGACTTGAGCCCTGGAGGCTAGCAGACCTTTGGAAGGTAGCTGGGTTTGAGGCCAATGTGCCAGAAGACTGAGAGAAGGCAGTTGGGTTCAGTCCCCCAGAACCTACCCCCCTAGGAAAGGGACTGGCATTTACTCCCATGGGGCCAGCTGGCCTTGAGAAATGACCTGAATTAGGGCCTATAGGGCCAGGGCCCCTTGACATGGGAGAGGGATTTGGCCCCGGAAGGCCCATTCCCCTAGAGCCTGGACCCGAGTTCGGGCCTATGGGGCCAGGTACTCTTGCCATGGAAGATGGGTTTGTGCCCATGTTTCCAGAAGCCTGTGAAAAAGAAGCTGAATTTGCTCCTAAAAGACCTGCTGCTCTTAGAATGGGGGCAAGATCTAGGCCTTGAGGTCCAGCCATTCTTAAATTAAGACCAGATCCTGTACCCAAGAGGCCACTTGCTCTGGCATCCAGATTAGGGCCTGGGCCCAGGCCACCGGCCCTTGGGTTGGGCCCAAGACCTGGACCTAGGCCACTTGATCTTGGGTTGGGCCCAAGGCCTGGACCTGGAAACATACCTGACCTGGGAGCAGGGTTTGTACCTAAAAAGCCTGATCTCATATTGGGACTTGGTCCGGGGCCCAGGCCAACTGGCCTAGGATTAGGAGGACCATTCCCAGAGGTCAATAGGACACCTGTTCTCAGGTTGGGTCCAGATCCAGGGCCCATAGGGCCGCCACTTCTGGGGTCAGGACCTGCTCCCAGGAGACCACCTGCCCTTGGATTGGGCATAGGACCTGGGCCTGGGAGACCTCCTAACCTGGGGTTAGACAGAGGCCCTTGACCTGGAAGAGCTCCTGTTCTAGGGTTTAGAGCTGGACCTGGGCCCGCGCCTGGGCCTGGGCCTGGGCCCAAAAGGCCACCTGGCCTTGGGAAAGAAACTGCACCTGTGCCAGTGGGATTCATCCCTCTTGGAAAAGAAGCCATGCCTGGGTCACGAGTACCAGCAGGGAAAGGTGCTGGATTTGAAGCCAATGAGCCTGATGAAGTTGGAAAAGGAGATGGGTTCCTTGGAAATGGGGCCAAATTTCCACCAAGAGAACCGGCTGCCATGAGAAAGGGATCCGAGTTCACACCCAGTGGGTGGCCTGTGTTCAGAGCAGGACCCCCCTGTGGTCCCAGGGAACCGTCGAGCCGTCCTCGAGGTGGCAGTGGAGCACGAGTCCAAGGAGTAGGCCGCTCTCTAGGGAAAATCCGGGGTTCTTTCATACTTTCTTGGGGACGTTGGTGATAATGGGCTTGGGGCGGGTTTTGAAAAGGATCTTGTTTTTGATGAGTGCTGTCACCAGGTACCGGGTGCCAGTCTCTCGGCCAAGCTCATCACAGTCCTGGTCCCCAGGAGTGTGTTTGACAAGAACTGCAAAAGGTTTCTCCAGGTGGATGATTTTCCCATACAGGATATGATGCCCCACGATCAGCACAGGGATTCCCTTTGGCAGAACAAGAACGAGATGCCTGAGGTTCAGGGCAAGGCCGTAACACTCACGTGCCTTTAAAGCTGCTCTTGGCAGGCAGTGCTGGCACCTCCACTCCCTGTTCTGGCTCTAACCTTTCTGAGCAGCCACACTGGACAACCCACCCATGTGTCCTTTTTACTCTTTCTAGCCCCATGTAAGAGAATTTCTGCTTTTAGAAATGTGACCTTTCCAGATTTCTCAAAGCTCAATTTCCCTGTTATTGCAGAGGTGGGGGAGAACAAGCAGATAGCTTTGCGGATTAGCTAGATCTTGAATAACAAACCTGAGGGCAGTCCTCACTCTGGGTCCTGGGAGCACCACCTTGGTGTAGCTTGCTTTTCTGAGGCATTAGGCAGGGAAAGAAAAGCCCCCTCACCTCAGTGGTGTAATGTAGGTCTCCCAGGAGGTTTCCAGCTAATCCGGTGCTGTAGCGAGCCTCGATCTCCCCCTGTAGCTCCATCAGCACCCATTCTGCCAGGCCTCCAGCCCCCGCACTGCAAGCAAAGGGCTGGTGGTTACAATATTTTTGAGGGGTGAAGGATGAGTAGTGTCCTACACCACCATTCAAGGCCCAAAGGAACTCTTGTGTTGAATGTAAGTACTTGGGAAACTGGGCAGTGCTAGGCACTGAACTAGAAATCAAAATGCAAGGATTTGTGCAAGATGCACCTGAGGACCCTGATTCTTCCCCAAAAATGTCAAACCTATATACCCCTAATTAATTCACACTAAATTTTAAAAATCTCAAAATGTACTTACCTAGAAATAACAATTTGCACCATGAGCTTTCTGTCTTTAAAAAGCAACTGAAAATAAGCTGTAGAGAAAAAAGAAAAAAAAAAAACACATGATTTAGGATAATCATAATGACAACTGATATATATTACTTATATATTACTTCCTGGGTGCTAAGTACTTTTCTCAGTGCTTTAGTCCCCTAACAGCACCATATGATGGAAGTTTTCTTTTACAGATATATATTATATATTTACGGTTTCTTAAGATCATCTTAGCTAGTTGCTTAAGAGCAACTGTAGCAAAAAAAGGTAACATTTTTGTGTCATTATTGTGTCCAAGGTCACATAGCTACTAAGTCAAAGAGGATGTGAACCCAAGACTTACACTGCAGAGACCATGCATGCTCTTTAACTTGCCTTTCTCAAGGATACCCTATTTTGTGTCCTGCATATGTCTAAAAAACTAATGAATTCTTTTAGATTTTGCTTTTTTGTTAATGACTTTAAGTCCACCACTTTGGTTATCTTGTATCTCTTGGTTCAAAGGGCCTCCCTTTAACCTAAAAAAAGGCCAAGAGAACTAGAAATGTCCTTCAGACAACTTTAGCGAATGGCAAGCTGACTTCTGAAGTGACTCTCATATTTTTCACTTCAGTAATACCCCAACACTTCAAATACTTTCATTTGATACAACAGCACCACCTGGTGGCAAGTTTGGAGTACTTTATAAGAAGGGACTAGAGTGGGACATTTTTGCCTGAAGACAACTGGCTCCCCTTACACTTGTGTCTTCCTGGTAAGGATAGATTCAGGGGAGATTAGGGGATGGCAGACCAAACTATAACTTCTGGCTAAGTCTTTCCAATGTATATATGAAGTTTAGTGGAAGGTTATTACTCCAGTGTTTACCAACTGTATAGTATGGAAAGTATAATTGTGCTCAAGCTTTAGCAAACACCTGATTAAAATATAAACAGGTTTCTTTCTTGGTATGTTAGTCTTCATTTTAGATCTCCAGGGAGAAGTACACTGCCAGCAGCCTTATAGTATGGCAGAGCCTCTACTCCTAGAGCAGCAAACACACTTTGGGAACGTGAAGTTGACTGGTCAACTTACTGGACTTCAAATCCAAATGTAAGTAGCAGCTAACATGTTTTGAATTTTTACTATGGAGTGGATGCTGTGAGGTACTGGTGGTATCTCATTGCACTATCATGAGACCTCTATGATACAGGTACTTATCCCTATTTTGCAGATGAGCTTACTGAGAGGTACACACAGATTAAGTCCCTTGCTTGTATGTGGTACACAGCTGTTATGTGGTAGAGCCAGGATAGGAACATAGGCAACCTGACTTTATGTACATTCATAATCACTACCCAATTCTGCCTTCCCAAAGGAGAAAACCAAATGCCAAGGTGAATGAAAAGGAATCAAGGCATGAGGCAGGCACTGAGTACATGCAAGAGCAGAAGGGCAACAGGAAATCAACTGGCCCTGAATCAGCCAGACTTTCTGCAGCAGCAAAGGTTGTGGTACCACCAGAGAAGGGGTAATATACTAGTTCAGAGGGCAAAGATCTTCAAATAGAGAGGCCCCAACCACTACCATCAACAGAACCCAAAGCACTTTTAAAATCCTTCTAAGGTTTCTTGAAGAAAGGATAACACTTTAAAATTAGAAGGCCTAAATTCAGGTTCCTGCCTATAAGTGTGTACTGTTGAGTGGATCATACACAAGTCACTTAATGACTATGGGGCAGAGACCTAGATTATGACTTAGTAAACTATTTTGAAGACCAAATATAATATATGCAAAATTGCTTTAAAGACTCTAAGTTCTATTGAGCTGAAGAGCTAATTTTTTAGAGGGTGGGATAAGCAAATCAGCATTTCATCACCATAATTTTGACTGTAATTTAAAGAATGGTAGGTATATTTTAGCCAGGAATCTAGAACAGCTCAATAATTCAGAGATTGAGAAGTTCTTGCAAATAAGCTCTTGATGACTGATGATGTAGTTTATTTTCCTGGATGACTGTAAGTCATAGTAAAATACAGGTGGCTTTATAAAGGCAATATGGTTGTTCACATAGGTATGCAACATGTTTTAGGAAGATCAGGACAGAGAAGGAGACAGAGCCTATTTCCTGACAACCACAATCGATCTTTAAGCCCTTTGACCACATGCTTGAAACGGGCACGTGTGGACCATTCAAGAAAAGAGGATGCAGAAATATTTCCAGTGTATTCCTCATTTCTTGGACAGTCTCCTGCTGGAACAGGAATTCAGAATAGTAGCCTATGTGGGCAAAGGAAAATAGATGTCTGGTTACCAGGACTAAATAGCTACACTTGCACACCAACCCCTAGCTTCAGTGACCACACACACATTTACACATGGATGCAGGAGACCCTGCCTGCCTGTTGATACTGGCAGACATCTAGCCATGCTCTTGAAAATAAGAATTCTGGGGCCTACAACCTCACCATCCTGCTCTATACCCAGTCAGGCTGGTAAACTTGTCTTGTGCTAGACCTTTTGGGATGCTGCAAATGTACATACAAATGAAGTTCAAACCCAGCAGGGTAGGCCTTCTGATTTCAAGATTGTTCTATTTTAAGAACCAAAGGAGGCAAGAAAAGCTTCATCTTTCTCTCCTGCACCCCTTTTAATAAAAGGATTTGTTCTGTAAAATTTGGATTCAGTCAAAAGGCTACACTTAAGGACCTAGAAGACCCCATATGGCCTTAAGACTACAGGTTCCCACCACTAGATGGTCTGATCTGGCTACATTTACGCAATTTATGTACATGAGGGTGTATTTACCAGCTAGTATGTAAGAAATGTAGGGGAGGGCATCCCTTCAGTGAATTTAAAAATTCTACTTTAGGCCGGGCACGGTGGCTCACGCCTGTAATCCTACCACTCTGGGAGGCCGAGGCGGGCAGATTGCTCGAGGTCAGGAGTTCGAAACCAGCCTGAGCAAGAGTGAGACCCTGTCTCTAATATAAATAGAAACAAATTAATTGGCCAACTAATATATATAGAAAAAATTAGCCAGGCATGCTAACGCATGCCTGTAGTCCCAGCTACTCGGGAGGCTGAGGCAGGAGGATCGCTTGAGCCCAGGAGTTTGAGGTTGCTGTGAGCTAGGCTGATGCCACGGCACTCACTCTAGCCTGGGCAAAAAAGCAAGACTCTGTCTCAAAAAAAAAAAAAAAAAAAAAAAATTCTACTTTAGCCCAGGCTTGGTGGCTCACGCCTGTAATTCCAGCACTTTGGGAGAATACCTTGATGCCAGGAGTCTAAGACCAGCCTGGGCAACATAGCAAGACCCAGCTCTACAAAAAAAAAAAATTAGCCAGGTGTGGTAGTGCACACCTGTAGTCCTAGCTCCTTGGGAGGCCAACGCAGGACTATTCCTTGAGCCCAGGAATTCAAGGTTACAGTGTGCTATGATCATGTGACTACACTCTAGCCAGGGCAACAGAGACCCTATCTTAAAATAAAAAAGTTCTATGTTAGCACTTTAAAATACCCTATAACACCTGAATTCTATTATTCCTTTTCTTGCTCCTTGAGATTTCTACTCTAAGCAACTGTTCTTAGGGCCAGGGTAGGCAGGGATACCTGGGTGCTTCAGGTGTGTTCTGCAGACACACCTGATGGAGGCTGCAGGAAATATGTATTTCCATTAATGTGGAGTTGATTAAAAAGCATATGAGAACATGCAGCCCAATCTGTTCCCATCCCCTTGAGTAGGGAGAAAGCAGAAAAACATAGAGGTGGGGAAGAAGCATAACCCAAGTCCTAACAAATATAATAACATTACAATGAAAATTCTCTGTATAAGAAAAAGATTGCTAAGTCTTCAGTTTCAACTCATTCCAATAACACTACAAGACAGCTAGAGCAATTTCTAGTTGTTTGTTCTAACATTGGCTTTAGAGAGACACTGCAGCTCTATAAAGAGCAACATGTGAAATTTAATAAATACACGACACCAAAAGGAAGTCGGTGGAAGAGCTCTCCCAGCAACTCTTTAAGAGCCAACTTCAATCCCAGATTTGGATAGGACTAACATGTCTTTAGTTAGGAACAATAATACCAGGTTGATTAGAGCGAGGGAGAAACTTCTGTGATGTAGCTTTTCAAAAAGGTTAAGTTCATTATATTTCAGAGTGGTACCAGTCTCACAGGCCACAACTAGTGTGTATCCTTGGAGATGGGAAGGTTTAAGAAAACCACACTTCTTTCCCCTGCAATAAATTATTATGTCCTCTGTCCCTAATCTCATAAAAGGGAGAAAAAGTTTTCTATTCCATCTTTCTGGGCCTTTACACATTTAAATGTACTAAATAATTTTGTAGTACATAATTAGTCAAATGACTTGAACTATGTAAACCTTTTTTTAAAGCACTTCATACATTTTTAACTCCCATTTTTAAAAAAAAGGGGGCCTTTTTTTTTTGTTTCAAATTTTCTAGAAATGTTACTTATCTAGGCTTGCCCCAGATCATCCCTAGTCTTAAGACCTGGGATTGGTTTGGGGGACCCAAGTAAAGTCAAAACAGTTGCTTCTCAGTGGTATAGATGATTTCAAGGCCCCTGAACAAATCACAGAGCATTAAAGGAACCAGTGTTCAAAGAACCAATCCAGACCCATAAGGGGAACCCTAACAAAACCCAAAAAGCTTTGGCTGGAATTGGACCAACTGGGGATATACTTAATATTTAACTATCATTTGGTTTCTCTCTACTTTGAAGTTAGTAACCATATTACAATTACTGTAAAGAACCTGACAAATCAAAGCACCACTTGATTTCTTAAGAAAAGTCCAGGGAGCCTTAACTTTACAATACAAAAAGTTTCATTTCTCAAAGCCAACCTCTTTTAAACTTATCTGGATTCTCTCACTATATCCTGACAACCAACCTATGATGTATGTAGGCTTGGTCTTCTCACTCTCATTTTACAGATGAGGAAACAGGCTTAGAGGTTAAACATTAAGTAACTGGTCACACAACTAGATAAGTGGTAGAGCTGGGATGTGAACCCTAACCCTTCCAAAATATGGCCCCTCTTGCAGTTCTCTTCTTACACAGCCCCCTCTCATAGAGCATTTCTGTATGAGAACTTCCCTGTGCTCTACAAGTATTAGCCTCATTCTCACATTATCTCTTACAAAATGGCACATAAGTAATCTATTAAGATCTTATGCCACCAAGCTAGTACATGTGGGGTAGGCAGTTAAAAACAAGCTCACTTTTTAGCATATCCAATTGATAATACTAAGGTTTTAAAAACTTTTAGAAATCTACTCAAAGCTACCTCCAGGATTCACTGTACCCTAAACTTCTGTTCCTTAGGTGTGAGGAAAAATAAGCCAGGAGAATACAGGACATTCTTTGTCATAGGTTCATTTTAATCTTCAACAAAATTTAATTATCTTATCCTATGGTCTCTGAATTGTTAAAAATTCAGTTGCTAAAGACTACTAATCTCTTATGGAGAACAGAGTGAGCAATGATCCTCATAATGGTAACAGCCTTCCAAAAAAAAAAAAAAAGTGCCAGAAGTGTGATACATATGCAGTTAAACAAAACATATAGTTTGTAACAAAACAAGGAACTTTGACTCAATGGTTTAACCTCACTATGAATAAATTTTAATAAAGCTAGACAATGTTTCATAAATTGTTTTCATTAAAACCTTTCCTTCCATTTTGTATCTTCTCTTTAAAGAAATCAAGGCTTCAATTTCCCAATCCCCAATTTAAAAAAAAATTCATTATTTTTTATATTGGGCTGAAATTACTTAACAATTAACTATGCTAAAGTGTAAAAATTATTTTTTATTTTTAAAAATTAAATACCTGACACAAAATACATCTGCAAGATTTTAGGCCAACAGTTGGCATTTGCTGAGCTTTTGTTTGGTCCCAGGGTCTACATTTTGTTTAGGGATGCAGTGAAGCATTCACATGTCAGACCTGGACTGTGCGATTCTCCCACCTATGCTATGTGTGACAGTGGTCGTTTAACCTCATAAGCTTGTTTTCCTAGCAATAAGTTAGGCATAAAAACACCTATCTCAAAAGGTTGTTCTAAGAATGAAGTAATGAATATAAAGCTTTTAGCATAGTATCTGACACAAGGTAAGACTTCAGGGTTAACCTACTGATTGCCCAGAGGAACGTATTTTCTTAGTATACCTCCAACAGAATGTCTTAATACTACACTATTATTTTAATGCTTATAGTGGACTAAAATATCCTATTAAAGCAGCAAGTCATCAGAATAAAATCAAGTTCACAAAATGGGAGAAGAATTTAAACATGGCAGTCATGGTTCACCAAACTGCTTCTGGGATTAAGTTCTGGAAGGTCATTTCTCTAAATATGAGTTTCTCTATGTGCCTTTCCACCAAATAAACAACTCAAAACATTTTATATGCAACCGAATACAGATTAATTTTATTTGCAGTGTTATTGTGGTTTTGACTGAAACGGATGGTCTTAGTTTCAAAGAGGATGTTGTCTCTTCACAGGTTTTTAAGTCTAAAATCCTGTTTCTAAATGAGAACCTTGCTCCCCTCCAAAAAGGGGTTTATTGAGAGTCAGTGGAACTGAATGCTTCCAAACTTTTCATTAGTGAAGTGTGTTCAAAAACGTATGTGGATGCTATGCATACACGTCGTACTTCCCATCACATTTTAGGATTCCCAAGTCGGAGGGAATCAATTACTGGTATTTGTTGACAATGGGTGGAAAAGATGGCTTCAGTCGATCTGAGTTACTGCAGTTTTCTCCATCTTCTGCTACTCTGCAGCCCCATCTAAACCTTTCCTCCTCTCGTTGCTAAGGCCCTCTATCTTCCCCAACCCCCCTTCCTTTCTAGCCCAGCTTGGGGTCTCCCTCTACAAGAAATTCCCCTCCCATCCGCCCCCATCTTCTCCACCCTCTCCCTTGGCCCCCTCCCACCCTTTCAACTAGAGCCACTTCCTATTTCTAGTTCCGCCCACTTTCTGGGACTTCTCCATCCTCTTACCCCCTTCTTCTCCAACCCCCTCCAGGTTACAAGCTGTTTAACCCCGCCTCCTATCTCCCAAGGAAACTACTCTTTAAACTACCTTCCTCCACACCCCCCACTGAAGTTATCTTCCAAACCACTCACCCTCCTCCCAAAGATTAAATGTCCTTTCCCTACCACCCTCATTCTCCAAATTGTTCCCGGTTAAGTACTTCGCTCCTGCAGGACCCCACCCTACTCACTCTCGGCTTCACCCACAAAAGAACCTGGAATCACTCTCTAATCACCCTCCAAATTTCCTCTCCCAGAAGCCTTCCTCCCTTGATTTAAAACGTTCCCTGGAACAAACCTCATAGTCCCACCCTCACCCCCACCAAAGTCCCTTTCAGCTATTCCCGCTACTCCCTTGTTTCCAGTTCTACTCCGCTCCCGCAACCCTCGCGGGCTGGGCTCCCTCCCAACCCGGGGAAGAGCCCCTTCCCACACGTACCTCGAGGTTTCGGCCCGCGCCGCCCCCTTCTCCGTCCTCCGCCCGAGCTCGGCCACCCTTTCCGCCCTTCTCCCACTCCGCCCCGCTCGCTCCCTTCCTTCCCTCCGCCTTCCGTCTCCACACCGCCCCCCCCCCACGATTCCCAGCCCTCCCACCCCGGGGGCCCCGCTGGGTTCGCCCCCACCTCTGCGCCGTCCTCCCCACCTCCCTCCCCCTTCCCGGCCGCCCCTCCCCCGCCCCGCCGCTCCCCGCCCCTCGCTCGCCATTCTTCTCCCGGAGCCGCGCGCCCCGCCCGGCCCCAGCTCCCTAGCTTCCCGCTCCCTCGCGCCCTCGCCCACATCCCCGGCTCGCCCCTCGCTCCCCGCGGCCTCCCGTGCCCCCCGCCCGCGGCCTGACCTGCAATGGCGGCCGCCGAACGCGGCGCCGCGCGGCCAACGGGCGACAACCGAACCTCCCGCCGCCGTCGCCGCCGCCGCGAGCACTGCCTGCGCACTTCCGGCCTTGAGCCAGGAGCACTTCCGGGGCAGAGCATGAGAGCGCGCGCGCACGTGTGGCCGGGGCGGAGAGAGGCTGGCGCCGCGAGAGGCAAGTGCGGGGCCGAGGGTGGATTGGGGAAGGGGCGTGGGAACCGTGTGTGGGGGAGGGGCGTCGGACGGTGTGCGGACCGTCCGAACTCGGCGACCCGCGGAGCTCGTCCATCCCCTTGTCCCGAGGCCAGGTGGGGGCTCGTCCTTAGACCCCGGGAGAGGGTAGGGGTGGCAAAGACCTCGCGCGCGCTGCAGTATGCCCTCTTAGTGCGGCCGCGCCGGGCCAGGTTAGACCGAACGCCCGCGGCTTCCTCACCTTGAAGGTGGGTGAATGGGAGGGAGAGCCTGACCTGGTCTCTACCCTCGCCCAGCACGTGTTGGCGGGCTGGGAGGAGGGCAGTAGGGTAGGTGACAGACGCCAGACCAGGTCCTGTTGCTTCCTCCTCTGTAGGAGTTCGGTCCTGTCCGCCCCATCCGCCCCACTGTCAAAACCTTAGTTTAGGTCTGTGATTTGCAGACTTAGCATGCAATAGAGCCAGGTAGGGGTGCTTGCAAAAATGCAGATTGTTAGGCCCCCTACGATTGGAATTCTTGAGCTATGGAGAAGGACCCTTTTTTATTTTTTGAAGCCTCCTTACTGTTCAAACCATTCTGAGCTTCTGAAGATTGATAGATTTTTGTATGGTGTATCATTAGTTAGATACTTAGGAATGAACTTCAGTGAGGTAATAGTTGGAGCCTTCCTTCCAGAGCAGTGATAATGAGGAAACGAATACTGCATGTGACATACTTCTGACGTTTAACAGTAAAACTCTTCTTTCCCCCTAGGAATGGGAGAATTTAAGGTCCACCGAGTACGTTTCTTTAATTATGTTCCATCAGGGATCCGCTGTGTGGCTTACAATAACCAGTCAAACAGATTGGCTGTTTCACGAACAGATGGGACTGTGGAAATTTATAACTTGTCAGCAAACTACTTTCAGGAGAAAGTAAGTCTTTTGGGAGCCTGTTGTGCAGTTTCTGATGTTAATTTTTTAAGTTTAATTGTACAAAAACTTGTATGTCTTTTGTATTCAAAGTGATGAAATGACTTGTCACCCCCTATGGAGTTGTTTAGTACTGCCGAACTTCTATAGCAAATATGAGATCTCTTGTCTGACTGATGAGAGAAGCCCAGAGTTTTGATCTGTGTAATGTTGGTTAGAAGGAATTGTGGCATCTCACTGCCAGTCATTTGGAAACAGAGGTTTGCTGGATCATTCAGTCACAACAAGAAGGAAAGTTGGCAGGATCATTTGCTATACATATTATCAGTCTCAGCACCTATGTAGCTTTGATAAGGCAGCATTTCCTGTTGGGAGTATCAGTATCCACTTCATTGCCAATTTAGAAAAAAATGAAACATTTTAATATCAGAAACTTTTTGGTGATGTCATGGCAGGAGGATGGATTCCTAAGTGCATCTGTCTGAGAGAATGTAGACCTACGTGCCTATATTTGGGAGAAAAAGAGATTTTTAAATTTGGTAAAATATCCTTTGGGTGTGCACAGAGGGCTTTTAGACAGCACTCCCCCCCTTCTGCCCCCACCACTGATTACTGATTTTCTTCAGGTGCAACATCTAATTCAATTCACGATTATTGAATTCCTAATATGCCCTAGGCACTGTGATATAAATGCACAGATGGGTAAATGAGTGAATTTAGTGCCCAGCAGTCTGGTATCTGGAATTTAGGCATTCTATCAATGTTTCTAAATGAGTAAGTGGCAAATACTGGGCATTAAAACAAGTGTCAGAGACTCTACCTTCAGAGATTTCAAAGACCAGTGGCAGAAAGATAAATACAGTTTCCAGCCAGTATAATAAATTTTATGATAAAGCTAAGCACATGAATAGAACCTTAATGGAGAGCTACCTTACCTGAGATGTGGGTTTAGTAAACTTGGAAAGAGATGACTTTCTGAGCTGGCCCCTGAAGAACTAATAGGAGTTTAAAAATTGCCTACCAGAAACAAGTTACCTTCTGTAGTATGAAAAACATGCTCTGCTGCACTCTGCTGTCTGTGATTTTCCTGTTTGTCATTTATAACAGTTGTAATTATGTAATTTGTGTATTTGTTGCATGTCTTTCTTCCATGCTGAACTTCAAATTTTATGAGAACAAGAACCATGTCAGTGACGTTTATAGCTGTATTCTCCATTTAGCAAGTGCATAGTCCAAAGCCACTGCTGAGTTAATGCTTGATGAATGAATAAGTCAACCATTCTTCACCTAGTGTCCCTCATTTTCTTGTCTTTTTCATCTGTTTTCTTTATTCTTCAACAGTTAATTAAGTTGGTCTGCTTTCTCCTTCTTCCCTTCCCTATGAGTTAAGATTGCTCAGCTCTGTTAATTTCTCTCAGAGCAAGAAAAAAAATGAGTATGTTAGGGTGAAAAGAGTAGGGGATAGGAATAAGGAGACCTACATTCTCCTCATACCATTGACTGGTGATTTGAGGAAACCGCTGAATTCATATGTATCTCCGCCTTTTCACATTCAAATAGGAAAAATTATACCAACTTAGTCCCTTTTGTGTTAAGCAGGTATAATAATAAAATGCCTTGATAGGAAAACTTTTTGAATGCTAGGAAATTTTTACAGGTAAAATTGACACACAGGAAGGTCCATGTATTTAAAGTATACACATTAATATCATTTCACATGTATGTATACATACCTGTGAATGCATTACCTAATCAAGATAGTTGCATTAATTTTTGGAAAACTGGATGCATCAAATTCCGTTAGATACATCAAACTAAACTTGAATATATACTTTATTCAGCTGTAAAGGTTTTGCTGAACTAGTCTTAGTAAAAGAAACAAGACCGAGTAAATCCCAGCAAATCAGGAGGCTGAGGCAGGAGGATTGCTTGAGGCCAGGAGTTTGAGACCAGCCTGGGTGACCTAGCTAGACCCTCTCACTAAAAAAAAAGGAAAAAAATTTAGCCAGGCATGGTGGCACATGCCTGTAGTCCCAGCTACTTGGGAGGCTGAAGTGGGAGGATCCCTTGAGCCCAGGAGTACAAGGCTACAGTGAGCGATGGTCATGCCACTGCACTTCAGCCTGGACAACAAAGCAAGACCCCATCTCTTAAAAAAAAAAAAAAAACTGTATAAAAGTAACTGAAATTTGAATCTGAATAAAAAGGAAGTATCAGTAGATGTGATCTTCTGATAGCCCAAAATCCTGTGCTAGTTATTTATGGGGAAGTACTTCTCACTGTGTTGCATGTGACGACTCAGTACTGGCAGCTGATGAATTTGTGGTAGGTTGAGAAATTGTGGTGTTTCTGTAGTTTTTCCCAGGTCATGAATCTCGGGCTACAGAAGCTCTGTGTTGGGCAGCAGGACAGCGACTCTTTAGTGCTGGGCTCAATGGAGAGATTATCGAGTATGACTTACAGGCACTAAACATCAAGTATGCTGTGGATGCCTTTGGAGGACCTATTTGGAGCATGACTACCAACCCCAGTGGCTCTCAACTTTTGGTCAGTAAGCAAGTATTGGTAATTCATACCGAGACTTCTCTTGTGCCCATTAAGACTGCCTTCCCTGTGTTCATAGGAGAACAAAATTGTGTTATGGCATGTAGCAACCCCAACTACAAGATTGGAATTGATATCAAGGATTTAAAAATCCCTTGTCCTTTTATATACTTTTTGCTGCTAGTTTGGGCCTTGTTTATTCATACAGGATATGGAAGGGTTAGTTCAGCTCATCATTGCCCAAACTATGTTCTTTGGAATTGGAAGATGCAGAGACTGTTTTTTGTTTTGATATTCTTTGTGTTCTGTGATAAATTTCATTTCAGAAATACAGCATATGAAATTCCTCTGTAGCTTCATAATGCACAGTAGTATATTAAAACTGTTTCAGCAGAGTGTTTCTCAAAAAATTTTTGAGCACAGTCTGGGACTTTCCCCCCTGTACAATTTCCATTAGAATGGGTGCTTTCAGAGATTTAATTTTCTGTGATGCGTCTGTGATTCTTTTTTAAATTTGCACTAATTTGTATAATATCTTAAGACATCACTATTTAGGTTATAAGGTTAATAGGTCTTTTATTTAGGCCATATCTAGGAGAGGCATGCTGTGAAATCCTGCTTCTATTCCATGTCATATGCAGGAACTGGGCCACTAATTGGAACTCCTAATATCAGCCTGTTTTCTGGGTAGACTATGAAGGTGAAGGCTGTTGATATCAGTACATTTTTCTCTCACAAACTGTTTTCCCTTTTCAGGGCAAGTAGTAGCTTTAGGGGAGTAATGTATTTATATGTGTGTATGTATGTATGTTTAGTCCTATTAGTCTTATAAAATGTTTAATGTTATTCTACCTCTTTTTCACTAATAGGTTGGCTGTGAAGATGGATCTGTGAAGCTATTTCAAATCACTCCAGACAAAATCCAGTTTGAAAGAAATTTTGATCGGCAGAAAAGTAAGGGTTGTTTTTGGTGGGGCAGTATTTAATAAGAAGTTATATTTCTTTGCCACTGGGGATGGGATTTTTCCCATTGGTCCAGGTAATATTTTTATCTCTATGCTAATTTTATCTGAGTACAGGGTATGTGCGAGAAGCCATCCCTAGCCCAGGCTTTACCCATTGTCTAGGATAGTTGTGACTGCCTGGTTAAGTAATAATGCAGAAAACCAAAAATCCAAAATAGGAAAGCTAGTGTTCTGTGGAAGTCAGTTTGTTATCACTTATTTTTGTGAAGTTTTAACAAGTGTACATTAAGTCTTGAGACTAGAATTTCATCATTGGAACTATGGTTCTTAATCCTTTGGGTGCATTCAAATTGAATGGGGGTATATGAGCCAATAGTGTTTATGGAAAAAAAAAATATATGTATATATATAATATATAAAAAATAATTGAATGGGGGAGTTTTGTGAACAGTTGTCCATACCTG